CTCAGTTTTTGTATGGCTACAAAAATTTACTTTGCCTTCATTATTAAAAGTTATTTTGCTGAATATAGAATTCTGCTTGATTTTTCTCTGAGTACTTTGAGGATGTCACTCCATTATCTCTGGATTACAGAGATTCAGACAAGAAGTCTGCTGTAATTGTTATCATTATGGCTGTATGTGATGTTTGGTTTTCTGAATGGCTTTTTTAATGTTATCTTTTCCTTTCATTTTTATCAGTTTGAATATGGTGTCTTTAAGTATTTTTTGTTTGTTGGTTGTTGCTATTTTTCATCTGGATTAGGCTTCTCAAAATCTTGAATCTCTGGTTTGATGTCTTTCATTATTTTTGGAATACTCTCAGCGATTATCTCTCAAAAATTTCTTCTTCCCTGTTCTCTCAGTCTTCTTNACTAGTAGTTCTAATCATATGGTCATCTCTGAGTCTGGTTCTGTTCATTTCATTGTCCCTTGACAATGAGTTGTTTTAATTGTTTTGTTTTGTTTGTATATCACTATTTTTGACTGAAGGTTGGACATCATATGTAAAACAATAGAGGCTGAGGAAAACAGTATTTTTGCTTGGAAATGACCATATCTCTTCTCCTTTGGGGTCATTAGTGTGGGGGTTGAATCAATTGAGGCAGGAGTTAAGCTGGGTTTGAGTTTTGTTGATGCCATGATCCAATGCCTTACTGAGTTCAAATTCCTCTAATGATAGAATGGGCCAGAGGATTTTTCATGATGTTTCTCCACCATACACAGCTTTCAGCTATACCTGTATGTCTCCAACACAGAAGGGAATCTCTCTGTCTACATTCTTGGCCATCAACCAGTGGTAGATTTCTGCCACTTCTTACACAGTTCTTGCTAAGCTGTTAGTGAGAATCAAAGGACATACTCTTTTGCCCTGGCCAGACTAGTCTTAGGTATGCCCTGTGTGCTTGGTACACAGGAGGGGAGCTTGCACAATATCCCTGCCCCTCCTTCCACTGGTGGCCATACTCTGCTTTGTATTTGTAGTGAATCTAGTACAGGAGTTTTCTGCCCTTCTGCCCAAAGTAGAAGACCTCTTCTGGCATTGGTATAAGATCCTTGGCACAGGACTGCTTCTTTCCCTTCTTCTCCCAGGGGTAGAACATTTTTTTTTCCTTCGATCCTTCCTGTAATAGCAATAGGTCTTTTCCTGTGCCATACAGAAAAAAAGGGTTTCCTGCCATTTCCCCAGTGCCATTACAGGCCTTTTCTAACATCCTCAATTTGTGTTAACGTTGGCACCTGTGCTGCTCCCGTATATCTCCAGCACTTATCATTAATTGTTCAGTGTCTCAATTAGACTTGAAGACAGGGAATGTATTTCCAGCATCTTAATGTCTTCACAACTAAACAGCATCTGACAAACAATAGATTAGTCATAATGTATGATGAATAAACCAATAATTGAATAAAGAAACAAAGGAGCCTACAGTCTAGCACATACAGAAACATACACACACAAGTAGAGCAATAACAATATTTCCAAAGGATTTTACCTGCTACTCCCCTTCTGAGCTTAAACAAGAATGTTAAAGTAGAATGTTAAAATTAGTATGTTATACTACAATTTTCTAGTGAAATCTCATTAAGGGAATATCGAAAGTTTTTTTAGAATATTTGCGTATATAGAATCACATTTTTAGCATTGGTTGCATTTCCACTGTTTCATATTATACCTTAGATGAAGATCTTCTGAAAACTTCAGACAGGTGTAGATAAATTCCTTAATTTGGTTATATACTTTTGGCACAAATTCAGAGAAAGGAAACTTTTTTGGAAATGGTTGCTGCAAATGCAAGAATTAATAAAAGCAAGTCACAAACTAATGAACATTGAAGATACTTAAAATTATTTAAAATGCAAAAGGAATTTTCTTCCACATTTTGAACTATCTGTTCAACAACTTCAAATTTAAACAAAGGTCTCAAGAAGTTTTCTGGTACTAAAAAGAATAAGACATAAATTTAAATAAAACAATAATTCAAATGTCCTTCAACAAGTAAAGGAATAAACATTGTGGTATGTAGTCTGGAATAAAAAGGAATAAACTACTGATATATTCAACAACTTGGATTGAATTTCAAAAGCATTGTGCTGGGTCAAAGAAGTCAATCTCACAAGGTTACATACTGTATGAATTTATATGGCATTCTGGAAAAGGCAAAAGTAGACAGATAGAGAACAGATTGGTGGTTTCCAGGGGCTGGGAATTAGGGTAGGGGTTGATTACAAAAGGGCAGTATGAGGGATCTGGGGGGGGCAATGGAACTGTTCTGTATAGTTATTCTGGTAGTGAACACACAAATCAATGCACTGTCAAAACCAACAGAATTATATACAACGAAGGGTAAATTTCACTGTATGTTTTTGGGAGAAAACGTATTAAGAGTATAATAAAGGCAAGTATTTCAAAGTATTAATATAATTGGAACACCCACAGCAATCCTCTAAACACTTCACATGTGATAGGACTCCAGAGCCAACTACTGATTCATAAATTAGGAAACTGTATTCTTCTAAGATCCAGAAAGAGTCCTTTGAAGGTATTTTAGAATTCTAACCCATTCTGTTGAAGGTAATGCTTTCAATGAAACTGATACAATGAAAGTTTTTACAGAATGCCAAAAGAACCTAAGAAGTTTATTTTAAAGTATTCCTTACCTTTTCCAGCTCTATATCTTGGAATGGGAATTGTCCTACTACCTTTTTATACATCTCTTCACTTGTTACTGGTATGGGACTGTAGTTGTCCAAATCAAGTATGTTTCTGTAAATAAAATAAGGAAGGATGGGAGGAAGGGAAGGAGAAATAGTGGGTTAATGAAAGATAATTTTCTGATGAACTCCAATGGTTGTATGAGTATATATACCACAACTCAAAATGAATGTTTCTAGTCCCTCTTATACCCTATAATATTCCTTCTGTAATAAAGCTATTTGTTTTGGGATAAAACCATCTTTCAAAGAAGTCAGAAAGAAAATGACACTCTGAAACAAATAGAACACAATGTAAACATGATCTACTAAGTTTCTGAGATTTACAAATGGGACAAAAAATTTTAAGGCAAGTGAGAAGTAAACAACAAAAGAATGTGTGCTTTAGAGAAGGCAAAGAGGGGGGCTTGGGAGCAGAAGAAGAGGGCTTCAAGACTGAACCAGGATCTTGTGCCACCAGGAGAGGCATCCATTATCAGTCTCTTCAACAGGCCTGCTTGGAACCACAAACATGTCCGGAAACTCCATGCTGCGCTTTTAAGATGGCAACGGGTCTGGAGCAGCCAAGCCAGGAGACAGCGCGACCCTGAGAAGTGTGCGCTGTGATACCAGAGTACTATTTGCATTTCCAAGAGCAACAAAAAATGAATAAATCTTTCAACAACGAACCTACAATGACAAACAAGCAACAACAGGTTCTAGGTTTTAGGGCCGACACAAAAGAAGACTCCTGAGAGCGCCCAAGCCCTGCTGCGGGTTCAAGCGAGCAGTCCGAGACAACAAAGGCCAAGTAAGTCAGCAGAGACGAAACAGAAACGGAGTGGAACACGCCAGACTGGCCCAACTCTGCGAGCTCTGTGAGTCACCCCCAGCCCAGCCCCACTTGCGGGGCGAAGCCCGACTGCTCCTCGCCCGCCTGGCTCCTGCCTATCACACCAGGCAAGGCACTGGCAACAGAGCTGCTTCCATTTTCTCGGGTGGGGGCGCAGACGGCCGGCTTAGTGCAGGCAGGCCAGCCATCTCTGCTTGGCGCGGCTCCTCACTGAGACGTGCCATTTGCTTACCTCGACATGGGGCACCCCGGGGCCTGTGGACTGGCCTACAATCCCACTCTCCCCGCGGATCTCTGACGGGGCTGGTAGTGTGGGGAGCCCCCGGCCAGCGTCGGGAGGGCAGCGAAGAGGAGCCCGCCCAGATCGTCTCTCCACCACACCCTGGGCATCGGCCCCAGGTAAACTCCCTGTTTCCGGGAGGCAGATTCCATCTTTGGGGGCCTCAGTTTGGAAGAACCCCTAACTGATTTCTGGTGGGGAGAGGGGAGCCTGGAGTGCTCTGGAGCTACATTGAAGCTACCGGAGAGCTCTCCCGGAGGGCCGACCCATACTATGGGGAGTAAAAGAGGAACTGTGTGCTGAGGGACCCTCCCCCAAGGAGTTCACACCTGCCAGTGGGAGAGACTGGACACCTTCTAGGCAGGGCGGGGCAGGGCACAGCTTTGATGTCTCAGCTGAAAGACAAGGTTTGTAGAAGACATGCCACAGCCCTGCTCTGAGCACACAGAGTGGGGAGGGGTCCGGCAAAAGGAGGCGGAGTCTCAGAAATAAATATAAATATATAACAATAATTACACACCCTGCGGGAACCCTTCGCAAGGCTCAATAGCCCCATCTAGTGTACATAGAGTGTGAAAATGCCCCGATAGCGAGGTGCAGAACACACACACCTTACGGGACTGGTAGGGTGGAGAAGACTATCCACAGGGGTCCAAGATCCGAGTGAAAATCCCNAGCTGATTGGGGGAAGGGGTCTTACAATACACAGAAAGATCACTTAAAGTAAAAGAATAAAGGGTTAAAAAGACAAGAAACCCAAATGAGTTGATATGGGGGCATGTGCCAAGAAAACAATCTAAGGAGACATTTGTGAGTGGGAAATAGAATAACTTTCTTAAAACTGTATGCATGTTGCAATAACTACTTTAAAAATATGCTTCAAACATTAGAATGTAATAGGATGCTTCTCTGTGAGTGGAAAAGGAAGAATATGTGAAATAATAAGAGTGAGTACTCAAAAAATGTTTCCCAAAAGCCTAAATTATTCATAAAGGCTCAAATGCCACTACCTTTTGGAGCCAGACTATACATGATCCC